TGTGTGTGTGTGTGTGTGTGTGTGTGGGTGCGTGCGTGCGTGCGTGCGTGCGTGCGTGCGTGCGTGTGACCCTTTCCAGCACAAACACTGACCTCGTCTGGACCAGTAATCCTCATGGTGACCAAAACGTGATCCTCATGTAGCAAACATAATTTCTGAGCTCCTGGTTAAGGTTAGGGGTCAGGTGTGAATGGTTGTGTTGGTTAGGCTGTCCACAATGAATGGATGTCTAAGCGAGGTCCTAATAAGGATAGCTGTGCAAACCTGTGTGTGTGTGAGAGAGAGAAAGAGAAAGAGAGGGACGTGTCTCTTGCCATTGTCACCGTGCCTGTGAGGCAAAGGTCAGAGCAGGTAAGGCCACGTGACGCTGTGACACGCGAATGAGGTGAGAGGTTGTTGCCAAGGTAATTGGCCCGTTTGTTTATGTTTTTGGCTCCTCAACAAAACACCATTGTATCTCTAGCACCGGAGCAGATAATTGCTAATTGCATACACAGGTCATTAGGGCCCTCCAGGGTTGAAAGGGTCAGGTCCTTCAGCTAAAGGTAGAACAAACATTTCAGAGGATAAAGCACAATGTCTATTTTTTCCTTTTTAAATTTAAATAACAGATTTGTTCATTATTTTCTTATCTCTGCTAAAAATGCATGTTTGACAATGTGAATCCCTCTACTGTTATAATTTATGATATTATCCACAGTGACCTCTTTAACATATTTGAACTGATTGATTTGTATTCCTTAATATGTCATTAACCGCCCAACATGCTGAGGAGTGGAAATCCCTTGTATGAAGAGCGCACACATGTACCTACCATAAGGTTCACCATGTAGGGGAGCAGCCAGAACAAGTCTTTGACCCAAACCAGCCATATGGCCCCAACATGGTCGCCCAAGTACAGAACATATGGTCCAGGGATGGCTGCCACTGCTGTCGCTGGGTTTCTCGTGGCGTATTCTTAGCGGCTCATGTTGAGTCTCTTACACTCGATAATAGTGTGGCCGCCTCAATCTCTACCTGATCTTCCCAGGAGGAGAGAGGAAGAAAATAAATAATGAGTGCAGTGCAGGGAATTGGCTCTAAAATTCAAACAACCCGCTATTATCGCTCCCTGTTATTTTGCACGTGAAGTGGTTCCAAGGATGAAGCTTCAGCGTTGTCTAATTAAATGTCCTGTAGAGGTGTCTCTGGCTTCCACTGCGATGCTGGACAGATGTTGGAAGTTGGCGTGAAAACTTCCACTGAGAGCCAATCACACAAGATGCCAGCATTCATCATATTTCACTCACCCTGCAGTGATTAATCAGCTGATAAATGGGATTTGACATATCAATTTACAGATGGGGCTGTAGACAGGAGGGGTATTAAAAGTGCTCTTCAGTAACCTGGTGATTAAAACTAGAGGAACTGTGTTTGGTTTTAACATAATGCAGACAAATTACCTCTTTCCTCGTTGTCACTGCTTCCTTTCCGACTGCAGAGGTAGTTGTGATTTTAAATGTTATGTGAAAGCATCATATTAACAGAGATCACTGACGTGTCATGCTTATGATGCCTCTTTAGGATCCTTGCTGCTCTGTCATTGTCTTTTCTCTGCATGGACGCAAGCTCTGTAATCCTATTGACATTGGACATGGGATGGCACAGTTTACCTCACACTGCCTCCTCAATCTTACATCCAAATCGTATTTGCCGTGGCCCTAAACATGTTTTTTTTATTTAGTTTACAGAGATTTACACACTATATTTGAAAGCCTAATCCGTAAACCGCTGTATATATATGTGAAAATGAATAACTGTGATGCAAACCGTCATTGAGATAGACTGGTTACATGGCAAGGTTCTTATCGATTGGCTCTTTTTTGACTTCCTCCCGTCATTGAAGAAACATCTGCAGGGGCCCAGGGCTCTTACGCTCTTCATCTGCAGCCAATAGCGTGCGTACGTCTGCATGTGTGTATGTGTCGGTGTGTATGCGTGTGAGCAGTGCTTGACTGCGGTGGATGGCTGCTGATTAGCCAAGCTGCTGGGGTCTTTTGTGCTCCTCAGACAGGCATATAATTGTTCTTTGTTCAATGCTCAGCATCTCTTTGAAGTCTCTCATTCAATTCATGTCCTCAGAGATCCTCGCTCCCTTTCTCTGTGGTATCCACCCGCGTCTTTGCACCGGGTGTCAAACCCCTATGTTGTAATTACATAGCAACCTATAGAGACATACAGTGCATGAAACACACAGGAGCGGATAGGGTGATGAATTCATAAAAAGGAGTCCTCATCTTTGTCCACACAAGTTGACCCGACGCCCATATTGACATTTTGAATCACAGCAATCTGGTACAGACCAAAAGCTTCTGAAGCCTGTTTATGAGCAGTGAACTGGAGAAAAATAACCACCCTGCTGTTGACTCTGATGGCTATAAACACTTCCCATACATGAGCACCATTACATAGGCTGTTTCTCTAATGTGTCTCCTCTGCAGCGTCGAGCGCGTCTGTGACAGCTCGTTCAAGAGCAGCGACTCATTCCACTGTTGTTCCTTTCAGTTGTTGTCATAATTAAATGATCGCTGGTTTTAATGAACCATCGGAGCGCTGTGCTGAATTACTTTCCACTAGCTAAGATAATGCGGCCCATTTGAGCTGGTCTAAGATGTAAAGTGGCATATAGACAGTGTGTGTGTGTGTGCGTGTGTGTGTGTGCTAGGGACAGAATCCTGTTGGTTCTCATTGCCAAATCTCCCTAAGGAGAGAGCTGTTTGTGCTCTCATGAAAAGCATTGGCAAGCCAGCCGGTGTGTGTAGAGAGGCACAGAGAGAATGAGGGCAGCCTTTAAGAGGAGAAAGATGGTTGTTTCTGTGTTCTGTGTTTCATTTTGCAGGGAGACACTGGAGAATGATGGTGAAAATTTAAAGAGAACAGGGATGGGTAAACCTGTTGCCTGCTCCAGTTGCCAACGGCGACCTGTTGCTAACAATATGTGTGTGTTTGTGTTTTTCGTCTGCGAGCAGATAAAGAACGCGGCGGCCAACGTGTTAAGGGAGACGTGGCTCATCTACAAACACACCAAGCTGATGAAGAAGATCGACCACTCCAGGGTTCGCAAACACCAGCGGAAGTTCCTCCAGGCGATTCATCAGTGAGGCCACATCTCACGTGCAGCACCCCACACACACACATGCACAGTCATGCACACAGCAGTGCTGCTGAGATGATGAAGCCTTTGATTTCAGTACTTTCTATCCACCCACAGGTTGAATCAACACTGATAATCAGATAAAGTGCTTGAATCCCTGTGCACACACACACACACACACACACAGACACACAAAATTAATCATCATCTACTAAAGAGCAGGTTCACTCCAGGCAAATACATTTGTGGGACTGGTGTGCATGGTGTACGATTACAGACACTTGGATCAACATATAATCTTTATTAAAGAGTGTTGTTGATCACACAAATACACACATCAGAAATCGCCATTAATTTCTCCAATATCATCTAGTTCTATTTGAACGTCCATAAGTGGGAATGCGTTAAGAAATGGATTTCTGCACATCCTCCGTCTGTCATCAAAATTAAGTGGCCTGATGATGTTGCTCGCTGCTTTGATCGTGAAACAGTTGGGTCGAGACCTAAGAATGTTAACAAGTGCCTTCTAACAGCCGAGTCAAGAGACTCTTTAAACTCTTTAAATTTTAACACAGCAAAGCTGATTCTCAATCATGTGCTAAGAGGCTGAATCTGTGAGTGATTTAATGGTCATGTGAATACATTTTCTGATATGGAGCTTTAAGGCAATAAAAACAGTCTGAACTTAATTATAATGGAGGAAGCTTAAGTGGTTGTTTTATGAAAACACAGATTAATCCTTAAGTTCGCTAACCGTTGTATTGTGTGTTGCCAGGTTCTATCAATTAGACTGTATTATTCTATATAACTGCTCTATTTTTAATTTAAGGTCATTCCAATTAGTTTATTTCCACACAGACCTTATTCCTCTGATGGTTTCTTAATATTAACCACATTATTCGTTTACTCCAGAGCTTAAGATCTCAGTCTACATTAAAGTTGTCTATTTTTTCGCCAGCTTTACACAATTACAAGAGAATGTAAAATTTGTGCTAGTTGTCATTTCTGGTCATATCCAGCAGGTAGAAATAAAGCTAAAGTAGGCAAGGTGACCGCTCCACGGTGTTGTTATCTGGACCCGCAGGGATTAGCTCTCTGAACCAACCACTGTGTGTTTACTGGGTTTCAACTTTGTATGTGAGTGTGTTTATTTAATGTGAGTGTGTGTTTGTGTATTTGTTTGCAGATTACGTAGTGTGAAAATGGAGCAAAGGAAACTCAGTGATCAGGCCAACACACTAGTGGACCTCTCAAAGGTGAGACACACACACACACACACACACACACACACACACACACACACACACACACGCACACGCACGCGCGTGGTTGAATCATTTATCAGTGCTCTCCATACATGTAGGACACGCATTTTACAAACTCATCACCTTCGTACATGTTAGCAACTGAGACACTTTAACACCCCCCCTCCCCCCTGTTGTGGAAATATACCACAACATTCCTCCGTCTCCATGCTGACCTGCCTGTTTCTGTGGCATTGTGTCGCCTAGCAACCAGAATGAGTGTTGAAACAGGGATGAGTGAGAGAGTGAGGAGGAAATGAGAGGAGGGAGGGGAGTACTCACTTTTTTTCTGGTGCTGCGTGGGTGTCTGCGAGTGAGAAGGTGCACCCGCGTGTGTGATCGTCAAAGAGACGGAGAGATGGAGGCTTGAAAAAGTGAGGGTATGTCTTTGTTCAATAGCTTTAGCACCAAATACTATATATTGCAATGATGCCATTTCAATGACTCCATCTATATTGGCTACTTGTGCATTTACCATGGATACGGAGTCCAGGATGTGCAAGGCAGGGGCACTCTGCCGCCGTTCTTTCATTTTCTCTCTCTCGTCTCTTATTTAACGCCCACACAGAGACTTCCCTCCAGCCTCCTTGTGATTCCAGCCTTAACTCCCGGTTGGACAATCTTTCCTTTTGCTCAGTGTCTTACTCAATCCTCCCGAGCATCGTGCTTGCCCTCTTTCCACTTTTTACTTGTTTGTCTAACCCCTCTGCTGTCTCAACCCATTCAAAAGAATGTGGTTGAAATAGGCTTTAATAAAGCAACCCTCATAATATTCCTGTTTACGTATTTGCAATCTGTTTCCCTTTTTCATCAACTTCGTCATCTTCGTCATCTCCCACTCTCTTCTTCTCTCCTCTCTACTCCTTTCCTCCCGCAGATGCAGAGCGTCATGTATGAGCTTATGTCGGAGCTCAACGACCGCAGCGAGGACTTGGAGCGCCAGATGCTGTCCCTGGAGCAGCGGGTGGAGCAGCTCACCGCCGGCTTTAACGCCCTCCCTGCCCATCTCTCTGCCACCCTCAGCGCTCAGCACGCTGCCCTGGTGCACCTGCTGCGAGAGAGGGATTCAAGGGACGTTAGAGGAGGCGGAGGTGCTGTGGTCCCATTGTCCCCAGCAACTTCTATATCCACTGCCACAGCATCCGTTTCTCCAGTTCAGATCATTGCTCCAGCACCACTCCCAGCCCAAGTCCCTACTTTGGCCCTGGAGTCCCCTCTGTCGCCTCCACCACAGCTGAGCTCAGAGGGGAGTCTGGAGGCAAGTCCCAACTCCAACACCTGCACCTCTAGCTGCTGAAGACAGCTCTGAGGACCAGGAGTGGACACATCTGGGGACAGAACAGGGAGAGAGGAAGGGGACGCTTTGCTCGTCCTCTTACTTCAGACTAAGACAGAGAAATGAAATGTGAGGTGATCCTCTGAAACTCACACTTCCAGAGAGCTGGATGAAGACGGGACTGTGAGGAGAAATAATGGGATTAAGATGAAGGGCCAGTATGAAGGATGAGACATGCTCGGGACTTTGGGGCACTTTCCTTGATGACGGGAAGGAGCGGAAAAAATGGAGACTCTGAAAGGTGTGAGGGGGAGGAAGAATGTCAAGAGGGTGAGAAATGGAGGTAGGGAGGATGAGGAGGGGGGAGGAAAGAGGAGGAGAAATAACGAGGAATAATTATATGAACTCAGAGCTCCTAAATGGAATACACTCCAATTATTGAAAAAAGGCCTTTTATTCCCTCTATTTTTCTCTCTCTCTTTCCTCCCCCCTTCTCCCAATCTTTCTCTCCCTTCATCAGGAATTAATGACCATGACTTTTTATCCTTATAATGTATTTTCTATCCGAATGCTATTTGTGTGTTAACGAGCATCCCTTTAACAGAAGGTTCGATCATACGACCATTAAAAAAAAAAAACTAGTGGCATGCACTGCACACACACACAACACACACACACACACACACACACACACTCTGACAAACACACTCACACATTATTTCAGCTCGTCCTCCACACAGTACAAGCAGAATGACACAATCTTTACAAAACGCCCTATTTACACGCACACAAAAGAAATTAATGCACCAGCCCACATGATAACACTAAAGCCTATATACTGCCAAGCACTCGATGCACAGAGCACTGCCAAGCAATGTAGACGCACTGTAAAAACGAAATGTTTATCCGATCCACTTGTGTTTTGTGGGTATGAGCTAATGCAGTAGTTTAGCCTGAGCACAGTTGTGACATTTTAACGACTCAGTTGGGAGAATCATTACGGTTCACGGGACTACACAAATTGTGCATGAAGCTGAAATAAGATGACATGATACATGAGTCATCACAACGTCTTATTTGTGATGAAGGAGACAGTAGCAGGCGATAAAATCATGTTACACAACTATAACAGGACTTGATTACTGCACTGATGGATTTACAGGTTAAGTCGAACTGATGTTTATGTGTGTTTGCTTTACTGAAATTTAAACTTTTGTTTAATTCCTGTGATCATTTCGTTGCCTATGAAAACCTCAGAAAATTGACAATTAATATTTGTGTATACTCTTTCTCTTTCTGGGAGAACTTTCAGATTTCAACATTTATTTATTTTGTATTTATTTATATATTTATTTATTACAATACTGGAACTGCAACTCAGAGCTTTGCAGGAATTTAATGATTCTCATTACATGTTGGTGAATCATTTACTGGAGTCCGTCCACCCAGGGGCATAAATCAAAACTTTATCCGTGAATAATAAATGATCTGCTCAGTCTTTTACATAAACATGGCCGGGCAGTGCGGTCAAATTGACTGGAGGGATTACTGCTATTTTTCAGTTTAAAAAATGCTCAAATATAGATTTTTACATCAGTAATTTAATTTACCTCTAAAATTAAAAACTGTGTGAATATAAGTTGAATGTTATTGATATTTTTTTCAGTGCACGGCTGTGTTAAAGACCACTGCCATCCTGTTTTTCAAGCTTACAGTCCCAAAACAACTCACTGTTATCATGAATGTATTCTGTGTTAAGAAAATTAGCTCCGTGCAGACACAGAAACACAAACACACAGGTGCATGTACACACACACACACACACACACACACACACACACACACACACACACACCTCAACAACCAAAGTGCTCTCTCTTAAATGGACTTCAATAAGAGGCAGGGAACGCTGCTGTCACTGGGGACAAAAAGATAGCAGGAGGCATTGCAGAAATCTTGACAATATTTCCGAGGGAATAACTGTGAAAATGTGGGCATGGACTTGTTACAGTGCTGAACATGGACTGCTCCTCATTGCTTTAAAACCAGATTAAGGCGGACTACAGATGAACACAAATAAACCTTATAAAGGAAAATGGCCATGACGGAACAGCTGTTCATGAAAACACACAGAAAGAGAGACTGAGGTGTATCTGAGAGGAACTGTAATGGTGTGATGGGGAGAGAAGACACAAGCCCTTTGCATTGGAGACAATATCAAAACTGTCTTATAGCGACACGCTGTGGCCGGAATACTGAATTACATACGCTTGGAATATTGTACAGTATGCTGTTAACGAAATCTAGCTTTGTATTGCTTAGTCTTTTTCTACCATTATGATTAAACGCAGTTATAGCTGATATCTAATATTATTAAACCCTAGTATTCTTCTCATTCGTCATGACAACTATGATTCTATGTATTAACAATACGTTAAATAATTATGAACAAGGAAAGTGCCGTTTGAGGTTGAAATTATTTTGTAATTTTATTTTATCAGAGAGAATTAATAAAGTATATATCTATAACATTACAGCTTCCATGTTTTCTGTGTTGCTGTTATTGTTGTTTAATTAAATTTTTTGTCGCTTTGGGTAATAATATTTGTTTTGGTGTGGTTCTTTAGAAAAAATATTTCTTTATTAATTGCTTTATTGGGTTTGATTTTGTGCGTCTTCGAACCAAATAATTACCAATTTGTACGATAAATGAAGTATCAAGAAAATGTTGTTTAACGTACTGCACGTCATTTCTCAGTCACTTATTAGCCTGTTATGTGTCGCTGTAACCAGATTAGATGTGACTGTGGCAAACTCACTTCCATGTACTAAAACTTTTCTGTACGATGCAAAAAACCGTTTTACTTTTCCCCGTTGTGAAGGATAGGTTGCTTGGTTGCTATCAGGTTGCTATGAATTTCCTTGTTGCTGGAAGTGCTACAGACAGCGACTTGATGAAGGCTGATCAATTAAATGTAGCTAATATTTAAGTCTAAAACAGTTTAAGAGTCATTTCATTTTTATGATGTGTAGAACTGTCAGATGCTGGAATTTTGAGTTGGCTACATTGATTTGTTTATCAGGCTTAGGTGGAACAATTTAAACTTAAAAATTAGGCAAAGCTTGATTAGGATGTTGTAATGAACATTGTGATGAAAGTAAATAGTTATTTTAAAAAAACGTTATCAAAATATGAGCGTGTGTGTGTGTGTGTGTGTGTGTGTGTGTGTGTGTGTGTGTGTAGTCGTCATCATTGGAGCATGACTGGAGACCATGGTGGAGACATGTAAGACACATGTATGTCTATGTCTTTATTTATCTTCATCATGTTAGATTTGAGGATCAATGTTACATTTTAATTCAGTTACATGATCAAATCTTTATCCTCAGTGAGTTTTCACTACATTTCTATTCAACACAAACTACAATGACTTACGTCTTAAATAGATATAAGAAATATAAGAAAATGTCATGGTTGTATGAAGCATCTTTTGTTATTAGGTTTGCACCTCACAGTAAACCTACAACCTTTACCTGACATTTGACTCAACAACAAAAAACACAAATACACTAAAAAAGGGGGTGAGGGGCAGTTACAATGGGTGATGAGGATGAGGACATGAATTCATTTAGACATTCTGGCTCGACAACGACGTCTGCGGTAACAGACTTTCAGGTCACTCAGTCACTTATGTTTGTCCTATTTTCCATTTTCCTGTAATTCAAATGGTTGGATGTGTTTTCTCGCCTGCGAGTGAAGCATTGTACAACACCAGATTGTTTGTTTCAGGATTTGCATATTGTTTGTCAGACATCTTCATTGGAGCTGGCTGTAAATCCTTTGTTGGGTTTATAATCTTACCGCAGCAGCAGAGTGGGTTTGGAGAGAAGTTTTAGCACTCAGTTAATGTTCATCATAGGCAGCGAGGAAAACTGTGTGATGTTAGTTTTCTATTGTCTCTTGTCTTTGAGTCTTTGTTCTGTTCACGTCGATATTTTTTCACTTGCTGGGTCTTTGTAAATAAAATAGACTGTGTGGATTTGTCCTAGTACTGTATGATTGCCAGTGGGATATGAAACAGGATATTTATTTGATAAATCACATTATTTGTGGCTTTTCAAAATGAAAACAAACTGAGATTTTCCTTTTAATATTTGTGCAGTGTGAAATGATGAGTCACAGTCCATTCGTCCATTATCTGTGCCTCTTATCCTTTAAGGGTCGCGGGGGGGCTGAGCCAATATCAGCTAACATCGGGTGAGACATTAGGCATTAAAAAAAGAAATTCACCTATGTCCCTGTTTGGATGATCCTCCCACTGCCACCAATTGTCAGGGACCAGTCACAAAAGCACAAGGACAAGGTTTAAAAGAGGACATTTTCTCCTTTGATATTGAAAGTGTTCAAAAATTGCTAGCAAGTTACAAAAGTAAATACATTCTGTGTAACAATAGAAAGTTGAAAAGAGCTAGAAAATTCAGGTCACTAACTCAAAAAGAGGTCAAGTAAGTAATAAATAACAAAAGCTTAACTCAACCAAATAAAACCAAACTGACCCCCTCAAAAACAGGGAGCTGAGGACAAGGACTAGATCTAGACAAACACAAAGGGGGACTGTACTCACGACCAGAGGTACTGCTAACTTAAGATGTGCAAACATGAATAATCTATCAAAAGAAACCTATCAACAAATGATAAGGAAACCATAATAATGAAAGGACTTGAGAAATCTTAAATCAAGTCCTCCCCCTTCTTCACTCTCCAGTGGCCTCTTCCACTTCCTGTGGGCTGTCTTTAAAGGGTCATCTTTGCCAGGCTTCAGGCCTTTTTTTTACCAGGGGGGTGAAGTGAGACAGACAACAGGTAAGTGTCAGCAACCACTCAGAAGAACATGTGACAGAATGTTAACTTACTTGTGTGCACCCAAATTAGAAAACTATCAAACTGAATAAACAGAGTTACATTTGAACATGTGTTTTGTCATTATTTGTAAATGTTTGGTGGTAAAATGTGATCAAATCAAACCCAGAGAAAACCTACGGAGAGAACACGTACGCTTACAGGGCCGGTGTTTTGTTAATATCATTTGCGTGTGGAGTTGTGTAACTGTATCTCAATCCATGTTCCTGTTATCAGATTGTCAAATGCGTGCTGAGTTTTGCGAAAGGTGTGTTCAGAATGTGTGAGTGGGTTAGATTTGTAAACGTGTAAAAAATAATCTTTAAATGAATAATGAGATCTGTGTATTGAGATTTGTATGTGTAGAGAAATCTGCAAGTGTGCGCACAGATCTGTGAATGTGTGGATGATGTTAATGGCTCAGGTGGCTAATTGTCTCGCTCCAAGCGCTGGAAATACAGACATCAGTTACATATCTTACTTTCTTACACATGTTATTTGCTACACTTCTGCTGTAGCAGATCTGCTGTGTGTGTGTGGGGGGGGGGGTGGATTTGTCTGTCTCCAGTAGTATGCACAATGTTTTTTTACAGTTCAGGTGTGGCAGGCAAAGCAGCCATTTTTTTATAACTTAAGCAATTTGTTGTACCTATTTTCAAAGAGCAGCCATCACACCCAGGTTTGTTGATGCTCTTTCAGCACTACCGTATCAATTTTTTTTTAATTGCTACACTTTTGGCCCCAATTTGAACCCAGGAACCTTCCTGTTGGGAGGCGACAGTGCAAACCACTTTATCACTGTGCTATCCTGAGTCAACGCACTAAAGTCCCAACAACTTATTATATGGAAGAGGAAGGTGGCAGGTGGCAGGAGCACTACTGGTGTCCCTCAAACCACTGGTGCTCATGGAAGAGAATACAGGTCAAAACAATGACAACGTTTTTTTTATCTATAATGGCATGAAGAATCCAAATCCAGGCACTCAAAGTGGTTTTAAAAATGTAAAAGGCCTTTATTTAAATAGACTTGAAGCATTAAAATACACCAACGCAGATCGGCTTATGACACACAGACAAAGAGATTGTTTGATTTGAAATAATCACTCTTTGTCTCTGTCAGAACACCCTGTCACGCTGAGATGAGTTGGTGTGTTTTAATGCTTCAAGCCCATTTCAAAAAGGCCTTTTTCATTTTAAAAAACACTTTGAGTTCCTGGACCTGGATTCTCTGTGCAATCAGTTTTGGACACAAGTTTTCCTTTAATTTTTGAACAGCTTAGTACCTTCCTTGTGTTCAAGTCCCGACGGTGGTTGGGTCAAAGCTATTTAAATGAAACACCTCCCCATTAGTTCACACCACTGCTCATTCCAGAGGCGACGACACACCAATCCTTCCAGGGCTTATCATGTGTGAGTAAATTTACTTGAGCATGACGCACACTCTCTCCTTAATAGAGGAAATTGATTTTTATTTTACTTTTTTCTCATGAAGCAAGCATCACATACACCCGGCCTGTTGAGTTGTGTGTTTAGCCCAGGGTGAAAAATAAAACAGAAGCAGAGGTGTGACAGCCAGGCAGCCTGAGGCAGTGCTCTGCCAAGGGCACAGCACAGAGCCAGATGTGATGAGCTTGTTATCAGTGTTATTTACCGGCAGGCTTTACTGCCTCAGGGCTTCATCATCTCGCTCACAGATGATGATTGTGTTGTAGAATTTTAAGGCCAAGGTAATATCTGTATAGCCTCGTTTTTAACATTCTGCTCCTCTCTCTCTCAGCCTCGTCCCATTTTTCAGGACAACCATTTAGTCATTTCAGATGTGCTGTTAGTGCTGAGCATAGCAAAGGGTCCACAGACAGCTGAACTCATTCTGCAGAGGAGATTAGATTCTGGTTTTTTTCTCCTATCCCTGACAAATTTAATTACACTTATGAACATTTTGCTCAAAGTAAAAGACACAAACAGCCAGAAGTGAAACAGCAGAAATCATTTTGTGCACATTAGTAAATGCAAATGAGGTGTCGAGCAAACAAAGCCTACATTTTTCTAGGCTTTAATCCAATTTGTTATAAAACATAAAATCTTGCATCGCAGCTGATTGTTTTCCAAAGTGAGGTGTGTGGTTGTGGCTCAGAGGGTAGAGGGAGTTATTCACTTAACATAAGGTTGGCAGATCAATCCTGGGCTCTGGTCCACATGCTGATTGAGACATTGAACCCCAGTTGTTGCTGATAATTTCCCTTTGATTAGTGCCTCGTGTGGTAGCTTGTTTGCCATAGGTGTGTGTCAATGAATGCATGGGTGGAGGCTACACATAAATGCCATCCATTTGATAAATCCCCACCCACTATGAACAGGAGCATCAGACAGTTCTTGTAACTCTTTTCTTTTTTATCCTTTTGTTATTCCTCCCTCCGACTGACGGATGTGATCCCTGGTGTGATGGGTCAGAACCTACCTCCAGAGCAACATCATACAGATGTTTCACAGCACACTTTCCATCTCCACTGTTCAAACTTCATGGGAAATGTATTTTTCTTTTCATGCCTCTGCACCAGTGACAGCCAATGGCTCAAAGCATTATGTTTCGGCTTGTC